CTAAGGAATAGAGATAAAACACATTTCTGAACACAGGAATTCTTCATGTGGAGAAATCCTAGCAGGACAAAGGTTTCATGTCAGGTAGAATCACTGTAACACTTCAAAGATTACATCCATATAAAACTGAACACATCTTACTCCTCAATAACTATAGCTGGTTATTTATCTAGATTTCTTGGAATGTACAGCCCAGAGTTTTCTAAAAAATCTGATTTGATAGTTCTACCTTGTTTGCCTCATTTTTATATAAGTGCTACCAAAATGCTAGTTTTGATTTGATACAAAGTACTAAAGTCTTTTCCATGCTTTCTGAGAAAAAAGGAGGAAATTAAAAGAAAAATAAATTGTGTTGCTTAGTTTTACTTAAAAGACCATGAACATAAAAACACATTGGTTTGCCTGTAAAATTATAGCATGGAATGAATTGTAAAGAATAGCTCACTGAGACAGTAACTAAAATTTTACTAATTGAATCACTGTTTAAATTTCTTTTATAGTTTAAATTAAACATTTACATTTTGGAAATTATGGAAAGCAGGCAGAAAGATAAAGAACAGTAGAGAAAACATATTTCCTAAGATGTAGTGCTTTTCACAGAGTCCAGAGGTTACTCACATTTTCAGAAAAGAATACCTACACAAAAGACCAAAAGCTCAAAATTCATTACACATATATCTTGCCACAAGGAATTTTCTACAATCTGTTTCAGTGCCGGAGCTGTGTTGAAGTCAGTGATTTGTACATTCTGTGGCTTCAATGTTTCCTTTTGAAATCAGCTCCCAGACTTCTGAGAACTGAATGTTTGCCAGGACTGAGTCAAGTTTTCCTACCTTTTGAATTAGTCTGTGTCTTGATTTCTGTGTTTTTCAAAAAATACAAGACCAGTTATACCACAATTAGGAGACAGAGGTGCGTTTAAAACGACTATCAGGTATTCTTTGGCATCCTTTACCACCAGGACTCTCGCGTCACAGCGCTCTGGACATTCCGTGATCTGACCCCCGCCCCATCCCAAGCTCCTCTGCTCCTCACCCACAGCTCCCACTAACCTCCCACTCTTCGTCACAAAACCACGCATACAATCTCTTCTCCCAACTTGCTTCTTCCCTCCTTGTTGTAACTAAAACCTGAGAACCAGGGTCAATCTAGTACATGCCCTTCGGACCACTCAGGGGCTGCTGTTTCCTACTCTTATGGCCAGATACCTCTTGGTAAGCTGAGCAATCATTTCATACGTAATTTTCCAAATGTTCTTCCACACTTGCACTCTTAGATCTTCAAAATTTCGGTAGCATATTGCTATTAATTTATTAGCGTTCTAGTTATATGATTGAGTAATTTAGTTATTCTAGTAGCTTTCAGAAACGTGGAGTTCATTTTAGTGTTCGAAAGTTTTGTTGATTTATAAAAGGGTGGTTACTAGTTTATGGGAGATCTTTTATGAGAATACTGTTTGAGTTCTTATAGAACCACATTTAGAAACACAGCAGTTTTAGCTGATTCATTAAATTAGCAGTCAGAATCTAGTAGCTGGAGACTAGCTGAGTTATATTACAGGTGCAATGCTTGATTAATTCAATTATTTATGAACTCACAATTATATACTAAGTCCACACCACAGGCTAGGCACAATAAACTGCCTCTAGGACACAAGAAACAGATGTGGGCTCTTGAGGAGGAGATAAACAAATTATTAATTATAAATGACAACACAAAACATTATTTAATTCCGTAAGCACTCCATAGGAAAAGTCTAGTACACAATGCTTGGGGTGGGGGCAGGTGGAGGCCAAGGGGGATCAACTTGTTGAGAATGGGTGCTCCAGGGAAAAAGAAAACAATTAAAAGAGCCAAGAAAATATTATCAATTCTTTTCCCTCTATTTATATATACCAATGATTGATGCCCAAGGAACCCCTGCACTATGGTGGCTTGGATGTATGAAATGTGTATTTCAACTAAATAAAAGGAGCAGTTTTTGTTTTGCCTGGATTTTTTAAAAAAAACCTGGAAGTCAGTCAGCTGTAAATTCTCATATATTGTTTCTGCCCATTTACTATGAGGCTGGTGGTGATGCCTACAAGTAAATGGCCTGTGGACTCAGAATACATTAGCTTTCTGCTTCTTCAGCAGTCTCTGGAGTAGAGTGTTTAACTGGTATGAAAACAGAAGAAAGACTAGAGGCTTAAGTGCTTTGATCCAACTCTCCTGTTCCTCTAGTAGTTTTATGTTTTCCAAGTTCATACATATGGGTTTTTATTTAAAAAAAGAAAATCCAGGATTATGCAAAGAATATCTTTGTAATTCAGTAAAGGAATAATTATTTTTATTGTTTTTTAAAGCATAGAGAGCATTTCCTGATTCCACTCAGTTTAACTGTTAGTTAAAAACATTTTAATTAGAGATACCTGACTCAGGGCAGAATAACACCAATCACAGGGACATAGTTCTGGTTTTGATTTCAAAGCAACCTTGAGCAAGACTCCTTTGAATGGGAACATGAATCAGCATTCAGCAGAACTGAGTATAAACCTCTACTCCAGATTCTGAGTGACAAGAGAACTTCTAAATAGGGCACTGTTTGTTCATAGTTTTAGGTATCTGTGATTTATTTGGCTTTGTTAGACAATAGGGGCTTTGGTTCAGTTGTATTTTTAACATTCCTTAAAATAAACTGGAGTGTTCCCATTTTGGATTCGTGTGATGGAGGAAATGAAGAACTACAAGTGCTGAGCATCCAGGGATTATGTGCTGGGCTCTGTGCTAGATTGCCTCGGGTCATATTTTTTTGGTTGCATGTAATAGAAACTGGCTCTGGCTAACTCAGGGGAAAAAAAGTAACTGGTGCTGGCGTATTAGAATAATATTTGGTTATCTCATAGAATGTGAAACTCAGGAAAGACAGAGATCAGGAGACTTCTGACTTCCGAAGTTGAGTTCATGTCTGTCTCCCTAGGGGAAAGTAGTTGAAGTGTCTTCCCATACAACAGTTGAGATCGGATCTTCAACTGTGGATTAGTCAATCAAGGTCAGCGAGGCAGAATTATATTGTTTAGCTGGTTGTTTGTGGGCAACCACACCTGTATTTTGTGGGCAGTTCTGAGAGAAAGGGGAATTACTGTGAATTGGTGGTCACACCAGCAAGGTCAGCTATGCGGGGCTTTTTACAGGCTTAATTTAATGCTCACAAAAAGCTTATAAAATCACTATTTCCACCTCACAAACGAGAAAACCGAGACTCAAATTGCTTAAGCAACTTGTCCAATGTTCCACAATTGGAATGTGGCAGACCTAGAATTCCAACTAGGTTTACAAGAAGGACTAGCTAGTTTTTGTCCTAAAATATGAATGTGATAAGACTACATGAGATAAAAACTTCCAAATATTAGGTATCTCCAGAGCATTATAAAGACTAAAGCTGAGTGTTGAAAGCTCTGGGGTTGGATCGGGCAAGTAAATAAATACCTAATCCTCTCCACTTACATATGCCGATAGATCACCTACTTTACAAGGTTATTTTAACGTCACAAGGTTATTGAGACCTGTGAAAATACTTGGCACAAAGCATGTACTCATTTTTTTGGCGGGGGAAAATGAATCTTTTCTTTTAATGAAGCCTTAAGGATGTTGCTAAAGAAGGAGTCACAATTTGATAGAGGCTTTTTCATTCCAAAAATATAATGGCTCTCTTACTCTCAGATTTTCAAGATGGTGCGTTAGTCACCTGAACATAAAGGTAGGAGATGCAATATAAAAAGAGTTAAGGAAATCATACAATAGGCAAAGAAAGTTTTAGATACAAAATGTCCTGCTTCTTTTTGAGACTTAGGCCTCACATTTCATGGAAAAACTCTTATCTTTGGTCATTAGGACAATACTTAATCATTTAATTCTCTCAGCGAATACTACCTGAGATGGTCAATGCCCTTTTGATAAGCAAAAACAGAAAACAGTTCTAAATGTGGAAATCTATAACTTGAACATCATTGAAACATATTAGCTAACTTGACTTTGAATAACTAATACGTTCAAAAAAATCAATTCTAAAACCACATGATTATTCTCAGTTATCTTTAAGGACAGCTCTGTGGGAAAAGAAAAGTATCACAGCAGTCTAAAAGTTTATTATTCTGCACGGTGGGTGTTCTGCAAATACTCATAGACTGATTGGTATTTGTTCCAAATTACTTCAGACAATTAGTCTATGTCAACAGCAAAGTTGGAATCCTAAATGGAAGAAGAAACATCTTCCTGTGATGGTAGGAATGAAAGAGAGGTGTAGGCTATTATATTCTCTTGATATTTGCATTATCCCTGGATCTTAGTCTCTCCAGATCTTAGTTTGTGACCTTCAGTGCTTCATTTTCATATAAATCATATCTGAGTTAAGTTGTAAAATACCATTTTAAGTTTGATGAGAAAGAATACAGTGATTTTATTTCTTCTTTTACTTTTTGGTCAGGTGCTTTTAAATATGACCATAATATTGCATTATTGGCTTGTTCCAAAATTAAAAGCCTTCTCCTTTTATTTCTATGTTGTGTTTCCAGTCAGTGACCTGCTTTGCTTGCTTTAATTTCTTATTTAAACTTGTAAGAGAAAACTAGTTATTCACATTTAAATATTCTCAATGAATATGATTGTAAATATTTAGGGTATATGTTAAAAACATCATCATCTATGAACGCATAAGTTGTAAAAAAAATTAATAATTTTTTATTATTCATTGATTGTTTTGCAGAGAGAGGGGGGTGGTGAGAGAGACAAATAGACAGATGCTGATTTATTTTTCCACTTATTTATGCATTCATTGGTGGATTCTTGTATGTGCCCTGACCAGGGATCGAACCTGTAACCTTGGGATATCAGATGATACTCTAACCAACTGAGCTACTCAGCCAGGACAGAACAACTTTTTTAAAGAAAGAATTAAGTTAAAAAAGAAAGGATAAAAAATAACCAAATATTTTGAAGCTCGTTTTATTACACTGATAAACCCCAGAAAAGTACAAAGCCCATGAAAGTAAAAGCATTTCAGAAAACAAGACAAAATGTTTACATAATTTTAATGACAACATTTAGTTTTGATATTTAAAAAAACTTATAATTTTGCATTGAAGCACACTGCTCATGAATTAAGTACATTCTGAAATTCTGAGAAAGAATTTCATATTCTTATATGAGCCTGACTTCATATAAATGGTTAAGTTACATTCCCTTTCTAGAGATTAAGTTCATGCCATGATTTATTTAAAAAATGACTTTATTCATTTATAGTGATTTTGAAGAACAGAAATAGGAGATAAGCATATATTGCACACATACTCCTTTAAGTGATAAAAGCTGAATTAATATCATAATCTTTAGTGTTTTCAGTGTTACCAATCAAAATAGATCCCACTACAGAAAAAAAGTGTGGTTATACCAGGAGATACTGAAATCCATGCTGTTTTTATCCTCAAAATCAAGTAAATGTATGATTACATTTTACTTGTATCTTATCAAGTAAATTATAAAATGATTACATTTTACTAAAATCTTATCAAGAGTCCCTGTCAAGCAATAAGTAAAGATATTTACTACTTTTGCCAAATACAATATAACAGGCCACCAGAGGCTATAAGGTTTACCTAATTAACTTTTGGCAATGTGGCAATTTTCAAAGACTTCTGAGTCACGTCATACTTTTTGCTGCTGTTGCTGCTGCTGCTACCCCTATTACAATTACTACTACTAGAATAATAGTAAATATAAAGGAGAAAACAAAAGAAAATAAATTAGATCTCCTGATAGTTCTAAATATTGTTTTGGTTTATCCTTGAAGTGAAAATTAATTATCCAAGATTTGGAAATAAAACAAAAGCATTTTTATAATTCACAGCATGTATTTTAGAGGTCTACTGATTTATCCGTTGCCAGTGTGGGTTAGCTTGTCATGTTCTTTTTATTCAATGTCAGCTGGTTCCGTAGCTATCAAAGCACTTAACTGTTTCTGAGCACAGGAGAGGAACAATTCCAAACTGGACAGGCTTCTTTGGCGGATGACTTGGTCAAGCTGTCAATTTATTTTTAAAGAGAAAGAGAGAGAAACAGAAAAAAATACACTTAGTTGGGGGATGAAGGATATTCTGTCACTGAAGCCTACTCAAGAAACCTTTTCAGGTGATGATTTAGAAAACCAAATAGTGCTTTACACTCAGAGACAATGTAATGACTATTTCTGGGCTATTATCTAAGATGAGATGATAATCATTACAATTTTATAATTGATGTTATTATTCAGTTTTGCAGAAATACAAAAGAATTTGATCAGCGTGATTTAAAAATATATCTAATATTGTAAAATGCTAGTTCTTAATGAATATGCAGATCAAACATCCACAAAGATCATATAAATGAAACAGATGCAAAAAACAAAAGAAGTATACAGTACAGGCAAACAGCATCATTACATCATGCACAGAGTTTAGTGAGAAACAGGATAAGGAAGGAGATAAACAATTTTCTGAAATTAGAGAAAGTTTTGGAAAAGATGTACTTTAAGAAATATTTGAGATTATAGAAACTTATAATCTTTTTGACTTGGTCTTCTTGCTGAGTTAGATGGTCTTCTTGCTGAGTTAGAGATTTTTTTATTAGGATTTCTTAATGTTTTAATGTAACAAATTAATAAAGTAAACAAGAGGTTTAATAATGTGTCATGAAGAACTTAGAGGATGGTAAGGATTACTAACTACTGCCCTAAAAAATTTGCTAATGGTATAAAAATAACCAATGACAACACATCACCTATAATGAGAGATCAATGAAGGAGCACAAAAGCAGCCAAATAAATTCCATTTCACAACCTGTGATATTTATCTAAAAGTTGACATGTTCTTTGCACAAATTCCCACCAACATAAAATTTAAAAAAGACAAATCCAAACGAGAATTCTGTATTAAATTATACTTCTATAATCCACTGATATTTAAAATGACTGAAAAACAGATTACAATTTTGAAGTATCTTAAAAATTAATAAATAAAGAATGCATTATATTTAGCAAATGCACATGTAAAAAGATAGAACACTAGTAACAGTCCCTTAAGTTGTAATATTTTGGGATTTTAATATATGTACAGAAATAGGATTTCTGCTTATCCTTTTTCCTCATTTTTTTAATTCTCTCAAATGATTCATTTTGATGAATACTATATACCTTTCGTTTATAAATCTCTATAAAACAAGGCAGTTCTTTGCATTAGAAACCATGGGTAAGCAGAGGTCTTGTCTGCCTTGCTGACTCATGTACTCCAGCATCTAGATGAGGGTCTGGCACATGTTAGACACTCAAAATATTTGCTGAGACTGAATGAATCAATAAATATTTAAGCTTAATAAAGCAAGGCAATCTACTATGGAATGATAGATGCACTTTTAAAATGAAACATGCTTAACCTAACCTAAAAGATATGTAGGGATTAAAGTTGAATTTTTTAAAGTATTATTTTAATATATGTAAAACAGATTAAAATCTAAATATTTGCAGTTTTTAAAATTATTTTGCACTTGGTCTAAATTCAAATACTAGAGAAGACTATATCAACAACACCTACTCCCAGTCTGTTTCCAGTGGTTTCTGTCTACTTTGGGATGCTTTCAAGCATTTAAAGACTGGTTTTTAAAAATACTTTGTCCAGATCTTATGATTGTAACCATGGGAAGGATCACACAATCAGTTAGTTCTACTGTCATTACTGGAAATTTTCCCTACCTCATTTTTAAGAAATAGCTTGACTGTGTTCCATGATTTATTTAGCCATACTTCCACTGACAGAGATGTGCTTATTGCAACTTTGCCTTTCCTTTAAAGCACTATAGAAATTTACAACCTGAGTACATTCCCTTCAGAAGATGTTCAAGGGGTTCTCTTGGAGAGATTCTAATATGTGGAATTTCTAAGTCATAAGATTTGCATATTTTAAATTGTGATAAATATTACAAAATTGTTTTCCAGAGTGAGGGTACCAATTTATTAGGACCATCTACAATGTGTAAGAAGATCATCTTGCCCTGTTTTTTTAATGGCTGCATAATTTTCCATTATATATTTATAATGTAATATATATTAAATGGATATTTTATTATTTATTTTTAAATTATTCTATCCCTAGGCTTTTGGATGGTTCCTAATCTTTTGCTATAGTAGTCAATGCAGCAGTAATCATCCTTCAGCACAGACCTCTGTACATTTGCAAGTATATCTTGTAGAAATTGCTTGAGGGCAAGAGTATGTCACCTGCAATGTTACCTCTGTAATCAATCAGGTGCCCATATACGCATGAATCTGTCTGTGGGCTCTCAATTCCTATTCTGTTCCCATAGACAATTCACCTAACCGTACAGCAATATGATGCTCTCTTAATTACTACCACTTTATAATAAATCTTAATATATCACATAGTAACAATCACATTAACAACCATACCATTAAATATATCAGATGACTATAATTTAATGAACACTTGTAAAAAAATGATTTAAAAAGAAAGTGATGAGACTACAGACCCTCTGATAGCCTTTTCTCATAAAGCAAAAACAAAAACAAAAACAAAAACAAAAAAACAAGCAAAGTTCAAAAATATATTCTTTTCAGTTATACCAATAGGCTATCACTTCTAAGGCAAGGAAATTGTGCATCTCACTCCAAGAGCAGTTGCACCTGGAGTTTTATTTGGAGGGCGGTGTCAGGCAGGATGAGAGACACAGGTTCATTCTGGAGGCTGCTTCCTGGGTGTTTGTTTTGCTATTACTATGTTTCATGACTTGTAAGTGTTAGTTGATAATTCAAAGTTTTTTAGAATCCCCCTAGAATAACCAGGAGTTTCATTAAAAACAATTGTGACTTACTATCTTCAAACTTATGGATGCTATAAAAAGAGGAACCTTTTCTCCTTTTGAGGTATATAACCTCAGTGTGTTTGTGCAGCAGTCTACTGGGGATTATTCCCAAGTAACAATCATCATCTGGATTTATGCGTTCGGAACGAATATTCTGTAATTTTAAAAAGAGTGAAGATACGAATAAGGACAAAGAGTTTAACACCTTTTTATTTGAACATACCAAGTACTTCTGTCTTGCTTGTGCTAGGAGTCGCTCTGGAACGAGTGACTGGGAGACGGTGGACTAACTAACTGGTCCTGGGTTTAGGCAGCCGCAAGGCTCCCCCTCACTTCCTTCACCATGCGCCTCCCCGAAACGCCTGGTGGCAAGGATCCCTTCAATAAACAGGAGCTCAACACTTTAGGAGGCAATAAGGGGACACTGGTACTCTGAGGAGGAAGATAAAATGGGCCACCACAGGGCTGCGCTTCAAGTTTAGTGGGTCCTTCCTGGGCGGGGTATGTAAGATTGCGTCTAAGGGGGAAGGGACACTTGAGACCTTTCTCTGACTTACATGGTGAATTCCTCTCTCAGAAACAAGTACATCAAACTGATGTTCTTGGCAAATTACTGAATTTCAACAGTTTCTGTTTTATTAAGCATGACCTTATTATCCTTTATTGAAGCAAGAAGAATTTTGGCAAAATATTGAACTTTTTTTGCCCCTCGAAAAGTGGGGCTTAGTTCTGCATTTGTTGGTTTCATTTCAAAGCGAGTCAAAGATTTGTATTCTGTGACTTCATGTTGACAGTGTTACATCTAGAGTGGCGGTGGCAAACGGTTTTGGACATGGCTTTACGGTCTCTTCTTAATAGTGTCGCTCTAACTGCTTTGTTTTCCCTCCCGCTGTCTGTTGTTTCAGCTGCTATTCAGCTCTTTCAGATACCTGAAAAAACAAAACAAAACTAGACATTCTTAAGTCTCTCAAATAGACACTGGGGCTTTATAAATCTTTTTTTCTCTTCTATCATCTTTTCCGTTTGCTGTTATCCTGCTAAAAACATTTTAGAAGCATACTCCTTGCTAAAAGTTGATATTTATAAGCTTAGGAGGAAAAAAAGGACACATGACTTCCCAATAATTCCCTATGTTAGATTTATTTTTCCATTAGAATTTCATGCCATAGTAAAAAAGAAAAAAAAGAAAAAAGAAAAAGAAAAACAAAACATCTCTAGACCTTTGGTTTTTGTCCCTCATCATCAAAACACAGTATTATGGATGGTTAATTCATACTGATATAGAGAGCAAAATTCAAAATCAATGGAAAACAAATATGACTTATTTTAATGGGACTGTTAAGAACACTGTTTACATCCCAGGAAATTTGAAACGTTGTTTTTGAATATATATATCGTATATGTTATATATAACACTATATGTATAAGATCTTTTATATATACACACACACACATATATCTCTTATGTGAAATATATAAATACACACATATAGTTAGTACTAATTGTGATTTCAATACCTTTTTGGCTTCTACCAACAAGATATACCAAGAGAAGTGAAAATATTAGCTATATCTTTATCATTGTTACTTTTACAACCTTCTCTCCTGAAATTTGATACTTAAGATTAAAAAGTGATCTAATTTTAAAAAAAAGCTAGAATGGATATTCAGCAAATCCACTGATAGAAAGGAACCATAAACAAATGTTGTCAGTTTAATAAAAATACATTTTATGGATTCAGTTTTCACACTCCCTAACAAGCTCTCTAACAAGTTCTCTCATGGGCATTGAAGAAAGGTCAAGTATGATGATCTGAAACTGTAATTACTTAAGCAGGTTTTCCAGTTAACATGGTCATATTGGGTAATACAGATTGATTAAGTTTTAATAAGAAATGAAATAATTCTTCAGTCTCTTTTTTATTGCAGTTGTTGCTCTTTTAACATTGTTATTTGGATATGAATGCCTCTCTTTTTCTGACGTTATTATAGACCCTGCTACAAACAAATACATTCAAGCTGTTGTTTCATGTACATATTTGAGATTGAGACAATCAATTAGTCAATCCGTTGAGAGTAACAAAGTCAAGATTGCTCATTATTTGTATGTTATTGCTCAGGCATGGGGAAAAAAAGCACACAATAATGGCCTTGTCCTTCAGGGGTTTATAA